TGAACGAAACTGTTCAGTAAGTTGAACAGAAGTCCGTGATAAGCTGTTAAGTGTTTCCTTACTTTTTCCATTCTCTTTGAATTGAGGTGGACCTTTTTGAGGTCAATTAAAGACTTAAAATTAAATATGCCGGAGAATACTTAAATCGGAACTAATGGAAATTGGAGATTAAAGAGCGATAAAATTAGCTTTGAATTAGAATCTCGAAGGCCACATGGACCATTGACTGGAAAATGAAAACTGAACTTTCTGACATCTGGTGAGGCTTTGCGACAGTTAAGCTTTTATTTGGACTGGTAGATATTATCCTAAGTGTTGATATGTACCAAAGGTATTGCTCAATCAAAGATTTTGTTTTAAGATTACTAAACCTTCATAATTTTCAACACAACATTACAAGTATGCAATTTTGTGGCTACAGATGGAGTCGTGAAAACAACGATTCTAGCGTGATGAAATTAGCACCCGGGTCTCGTCAATGCAAGAAATGTTATGGTTTTTTGCTTCTAAACGGTTAACTGTGGCGCTTCTGTAACTTCTTAGACATTTCTTGATCATTTTTCTTCACATTTTCCTTAATAGCTTTGGTAGCAGGCAATTATCTGGTAACCGTGACAAATTTGTATATTGACTTTGAGTATTTGATGTGACTTGTAAAATGTTTATTTTTGAAAACCCTTAGAGTGTAACTATAAATGTAAGTTTTTTCTCATTTCAGATTTGGCAAAAAAGTGGCAAATTGGCAGGATAGCAAATCAAGTAATCCCTGCGATACTACTGTACTTGAAACTGAAATGTCATAACAAAGTATTACATACATACATATATACATACATACATACATACATACATACATACATACATACTTTATTTGAGGTATCAAAGAATAAACAACACAAATAATACCCTAAAAAGGAAGTTTAAAAGGTTAACCCTATGTAAACAAACTTCCAAAGAAATAAAATTTAAAAATGTATGCTTAGAGTAAAATCTAAGATGGATAAAAACCTAAGAAATACGCATGTATAATTTAAGAGCTGTTTTGAAACGTGTTAAGTTACCTATCTCAACGACATTAGTGGGCAGGTCATTCCATTCACGAATGATTTTAACAAAAAAAGAGTATTTATAACAATTACATTTTGTCAATTTAACCTGCAGTTTGTAATTGTGGTTGGACCTGGTACGTTTTGAAGCAAACTTAAAAAAATCACAAAAATGAAGGCCATTCAGCCGAATACAAGTTTATAACATTTTACCAAGGAAAAATATAGCCTTCTATCAGTCAACTTCGACCAATGAAACATTTCTGACAACGATCTTCATATGACATCTCACCCCTTCGCTGACCTAAAGCCAATCGAGAGGCTCTTCTCTGAACTTTCTCCAAGAGAACAATATTTTTAACTAGGTAAGGGCACCATACTGGGGAAGCATACTCAAGGATTGGTCTCACAAGAGTCTTGTACAATGTGGAAAAGATTTCTTCCTGAGATGATAATTTCTCTTGGGAAAATACTTAAAACAGTTTCGAATTGGCTTGATGAAAGAGAATCCATAGCAAGAATCCAAATTGTTGTTAAGGTTTTTTTTTTGCTGTACATACTAGAACTTCTTTTTAGATTGACTTTTGTTTTGTGTGAATTTGTCTAAAATGATTCTTAAAGTGCTACTGAGACCAAATTTAGCATTTGCCTGATTTTTCACTTTTTAAAATCCTTACTGGCTATTTACTATTCCCACCAAATTTGAATTGAAAATTCGAAGTGGATGTCCGAATGCTGATATATGGCTACATAGGCCAAACAAAATGGTCACAAGAGCTAATGAATAGCATTCGTACGCCCACATCGCACATACTCTACCGGAAGAGTCTCTTCTTCACATGTTCTGATCATTAAACCGCTGATTTTTTATAAAAGGAGTATCCAAGTAGGTTGGGCTCGAAAAATGATTGTTTCGGGTGCCATTCCTTCACTATGGAAAATACTTTTCAGCTGGCTATGTCTCCAAGAAGTTGCCAAAGGGCCAGTGTTATTGAGATCATGGATGTTTTGTTCACTATCACCTGATGTTTTCTAGACCTCGAGAAGATGCAACGATTGAACTTTTCGTTATTTAAGTGTATTTCATTTTTTCCTAGTTATATGTTCATTCATTCTCTTAGACTTATAATCTGCCATGTAAGATGTAAACACGAACAATACGTTCTGCTGGAATAAAGTCTTAACTTTCCTTTAAAAATTGCATTAATGTAGGAAATAACTTAATTCAATCAATGAATATTAATAGCTCTATATTGTTCTATGTGTATGAAAAATTGTCTACTTCTCTAACTTAACTATGCCAGACAGAAGGCCTTTGAAGTTAAGCAGACAAGCTTTCCGGAGGCCATCAAACTGTGGTAAATCAATTTGCACTAAACATGTTGACCAAAGCAGACCTATAATCAGCAGGTTTATCAAATTTGAACTAACCGCCAATTAACTAATTGACACCAATTGACCTAACCGCCTCCTGATTAGCTCAATTGGTAGAGCGCCGGACTGTTGTGCGGGAGGTCGAGGGTTCAAGCCCCGGCCAGACCAACACTCAGGGTCTTAAAATAACTGAGGAGAATTTGCTACCTTTCTATAATATCAAGAAATGGATAGATATTCTAGTCTTCTCGGATAAGGACGAATAAACCGTAGGCCCCGTCTCCTGCAGGGTTAGGGGTAGGAGACGTTAATTTCCCACGCACGAGATTACTGTGTGGTGGATGTCCTCCCCTGGGGTGGGATGGGTGGGTTTACTGGGCCCGCAGTAATTGGCACAAGCTGTTGCGGTGTCCCTGCCTGTCGGCGAATCTAATAAATTATAAATTATAATTATAATTATTATGAATTATGAATTATAATTAATTATAATTATTAATTATTTCATATTAAGTACGGTGTAGGTAGTTAATTTCACTGTATATGGGTTAGTTCAATTTATGTTTTCTTCTTGATATCAATCCTGTAGCTGGCAGCCCTTCATTTCAACTATAACCCTCGAAGGAAAAAAAAGTTGAATAATCAAGGCCAGCATGGATGTGGAGGAAATGTTAAGAAAGGCCAGGGTAGCATTTAATTATGGTGAAGTTTTGCTCAATGCATAGTTCATACACATGCATACAGACTTGCGTAAAGGCTGCCCTGTAAAAACGTATGTGGAACGTGTGCTCAGACTCTATTTTTGTTTTCTCAATCCATTATCCACTCTGTATTTGATAACCATATCAATAGAGAATATTAAAGAAGTGGCTGATGATCGAAAAATGCTATGCCTGGTGCTTTACACTTGATGCTCGACAATGGGTTGAAAGAGCATGCCATACAAAAGCGTTGTGACCAGAAGCAAAAGAAAACTGTGATTTGTTTATAATGGAGATCTTGAAAGTATTTCTGCTAAAGTTTTCTTTACTACATTCATCCATTCCTGGTAACACTAAAACTCAAGAGATAAAGAACTGTTCAAATAAAGAAATAAACGAATCCATAAGTCAATAGTTATATTTGAATTGTCCTGCTTCACTTTGTCTTATGATTTTCTGCTTCACCAGTAAGCTGCTTTTGAAGCTCTAGCTCCCTTACTTCTTCACAAGCCACATTTAAACGTGCCACGTTTAGGCTGTCCTTATAAGTGACGGCCTCTTCCTTGGGTGGCGCATGGCTCTACTTCTTTGTCGTACGGAGTGTGAGATGTCCAATATTTTTTCACAATGTTACAACGATCATCCATGAACCCCTCATCGAAGAAACAATATAATTATTCTTGTAGGTTAAAATGAGGGATGGTGACATTTTTTGCGCAAGATTGATGAATTCCTTTATTCACTGCGACAGAGCTTCGACGAAAGGGATATTGTGATGTCACAATGAGCAAGAACACTGAAAAATATCGTTGGCTCCATTGTTGTAGTTTGAGCAATGGCAGACAAAATTTAGCAAGTTTTAGTCAAAATTTTCTGCGACATTTCTTGCTGTGGTAGGTCTGAATTGTATCTTTTTTCATTTAGGATCTAAACTTTAATTGTTGGCATGAAAAATTGGTTTTCAAGAATATCAATTTTCGTCTCAGTAGCACTTTAAATGTTTTGTTAGGACTTGATTTACCAGTAGTTGCTTCATCTCTGAAAGATGGAAAATCCAGAACTGTAAGACATTCTGTTGGTGGTGACATTATCAAAGTTGTGGTCATGTAATCTTGAAATGTTTTTCTCTTGAATTGTAATTATGTGCAACAGGGTGGTTTAAGTAAAGCTACATTTTTTTCTGCATTTACTGTATTGCTTGAATTTTCCTAAAGAAAAATATTCTACCTGTATGCTTTACATGCAAAATATCTTTTAAAACTTCTGTACAATCATGATGCCTGCAGATAGACAGTTCACACTTAAAGCGGTCTAATCATGACTTGTGCAGTGTAGATGACGGCTCCATACAAAAACACAAAGCATAGTACTGTCTCAAAAAATAACACACAAAGGGTCATAGTTAGATTTAAAATTTTGTCTTTGAATTTCTTTACTGCGCTTTTCAGACAGTCAAGCATAAGCTTTGCTGTTTATATTTTATGCCAGTTTGACCATTGGTTGGAAAGGGCCTTTCATTGCCAGGAGTATCACCTATAATTTACTGGTTACCCTTGTGACTCCTTAGGAAACGACCGCCCATTAGTTGTTGTTTTTATTAATGCAATTAACGTGTGACATGGCCAGATTGATGAAATTACTAGATCACTTTTGTGTTTGTTCATGAGGGTTCACTGTTGTGATTTCTATTCTATATTTCATGCAGACTGTTAGAATGATAAAGATTGGCATATAGTACTTTAAAGTGCATCTACTGGTATTGATGGGTTAAGTAGCAATAAAAACTTCAGTGTGCAACGGTATCAGGGGTCTTTTTCGATACTACTTCAAACAAAGTTCAACCCGATGCACAAGTACAGATTGGTGATTTAAGGCTACAAACCTGGTAATGTGCATTCTGATTAGCATTTGCATCACTTTCTCGTAGTTGCTGTTCTTCGGGAGCTTGAAGTGCATAGCTTTCCTGAAAGTATTCCTGTGAAGCCATGTCAACCACTCTCCGAGGAACTTGATCCTGATGCGCATGGTACTCTTCCATGGAATGTGTGTTAGAGGTGGCAACATGGTGATCGAGCTGTGTGTGGCTGGCATTCTCCTCCGCTTTACCTCCAGGTAATGCATGTAAAATCTCTGCAAAGGTTTTCTTTGTCTCTTCTTGCAATTTTTCATGGCGTTTGGTAACCTTTGAATCATCTGTTTGCTCAGAGGATTGCATCTTTTCTGTCGATGGGCTACCTTCACTGTTTGAGTTACCTGCCCTTTGGTCATCTCTGTCATAATTGTTTTCCTGCGACATCTTAGATTATATCCTGTTGTGAGATTGGGATTATGCAAGTTAAGAAATATCATAGAGATGAATGCTAGAAGAGAGAAAATCCATTCCATTTTGGACTGAAGGATTTTTAATGAGGATGAATTGCACTGGTTGACAAAGCATCATTCAATAATGAAATTAAAATTAACATTTTTTGGTTTGAATTGTATAGGTATCAATTTACCCTTTTCAGCTGTATATAACTAATTACAACAATATAAACTGAACTGGTTAAAATTATGCACTATAATAATATTGAGTAGTGTTGTTGTTAATATTTTTATGAGCAACTCGATCTACTGTGTACAAAGTCTATATAAAAATGATGGTAATAGTGAAAATAGCAATTAAGTAAGAAACGCCTTGTTGAGCAAATGTTTTTTTGTATTTTGTTTTGTTTTGTTTTGTTTTTTTCTAACCATTTTCACTGCATTACCGCAGTAGGGTAGGACTAGAACGGAACATATGCGAACCATGTGAGTAGTCCACCCAATAAATCCCACTCATCCCACCCGAGGGGAGGACATCCATCACAAAGTAATCTCGTGCGTGGGAAATTAACGTCTCCTACCCCTAACCCTGCAGGAGACGGGACCTCCATTTATTCGTCCCTATCCGAGAAGACTAGAATATCCAACCATTTGTTGATGTGATAGAAAGGTAGCATATTCTTCTCAATTATTTTAAGACCTTGAGTGTTGGTCCGGCCGGGGCTTAACCCTCGACCCCCCGCACATCAGTCCAGCGCTCTATCCATTGAGCTAACCAGGAGGCGAGACTTTTAAACACTATTTAAATCAGGAACATTTCTGAGAACAATCGGGAGGATTGTTTAATAATTTGGGAGCAGCAAAGACCTATTACCAAGTGTACTTAGTTCAAAAGCATACCGTTATTATATCTTAAATTAGGTAGAAAACTTGTGTCCCTAACACTTGTGTCCCTAAAACTTGTGCCCCATTAGATTAGAAATGCATGGAGCAAGGCCATGAATGTGAAATTATTTACGTAACTGAGTAATAAAACCTTGAAATCTGTGATATACAGGTAAATGATACAGAGTTCCCAATGAAATATTGCAAAATTAGCCTTCTTTTGAACACGATACGAGCGGCTAACTTCGCAACTATCAGCAATTTCTGTAGCTGACATGCTGGTAACCCATTATATGTATCGGTGTTTCTGTACAAGCTTTGCTAAGGTATTTTCTAATGCTTTATTTATAATGTACACGTTATAAAAATAATAATGATAAAGTAGTAATGAAATGATTAAACCATCAAGAACTTCTTTTATTTCAGTGGAAGTTGAACTGTGTGCTTCAACATTTAGTCGCCAAATAAAGGCGTAATGGTAAAACAATTCACGTCAGTTGAAAAGGAATGTTGTTAGGTCAGGTCTTCAAAGAATAACTATGGCCAACTCGTGGATAAAATAATCTAAAAATGAAACATGTTTGTGAAATTGCAATTTTAGTGGTCCGATGTCGCGCAAAGTAGTTCAGTTCTTATTTCACAAAGCCAATGCTTTATTTGTCCACTTTTGCTGCACACATTACGAACACGTACGTGAGGGGAAATTTAACTTGTTGGGTTTAGCATACATGTCAGAACAAGGAAACGTACGCGTCGGAGGAGTGTTATTAGTATATCTGTGTATTATTATTATGCCTGAACATTAGTTCTTCTAGCTTCTTCCAAGCGGTCGATCCAACCACCGATGTTTAAAAAAGATAATTGAATTTAATTGATCAGTGATTGAACTTCAACTGTTCCAAAGCTTTTTTTTTTTCACATCAAATCGTAAAATAAACGATCAAAACGATAAACTGAGTTGATAATTTAAATTGGCCACCGTAAAGAGTTCCTAGTTGAGAGCGAAAACAAAAGCATGTTTACTTTCGCAGTCGATAAAACGATAGTCTTTGTTTGTAGAGCGTTGCATGACGAGTCCAACGGCTACGAGAGAGACTAAAAAAAAACAATTAATGGAAGCTGAAAAACAGCTCTTAAACAGCAACACCGTTAAAAGCACTGCTTCCTGGTTGTCCTTTTAGAAAAAGTGGCGTCTGGAGGATGGAATTGCCAACGAAATCATTAAATTACTAGCTACGGTCGAGCGATTTTACAAGACAAACTCAATCTCTTGTTGCGCACTCTTGATTTTGGAATCATGCATATGATTATTCTCCACACAGCGTAACTATAAAATGATTTTTTTCGTGATTCGCATGTGTTGTGTCTGCCTAAGCTATCTCGTGATTTTTTTTTTCATGAAGTAAACACGTGATTTTTCTCACGCAATCTGGGATGCGGAAACTAGAATAAATAATTTCAATGACCACAAATTACGCTTGTCCTACTGGCCTGCGAAATTTATTAGTCATCTTCGCACTCGAAATCCAGCTATGTAAACAATTTTGGACTGAAATGTGGCAAATATTGGTTTAAAGACGAAGTCTAGTCGTTGGCAAAACACTGTTGAGCAATATGTGGCTAAGCCCATTACTATATTAGGAAGTGTCTTGTTTCAGGTCTGGCCTCATGTCAAGTTAAGGTATCAAATGATATAATTCGCTGCTGTCTCCTTCAAATTTCTTAAAACCCAAGAAGGATACAAAGATAACATCTAGTGGAGATCGTGTCGCCTTTAAAGACTTCTAGGTCACATTTGTCCTCGACTTGTTAGTAACACCTTTCCGAAAGAACGAAGATATGAAAACATTTCTCAGTAAACACCTCAGGCTCTGTTCTTTCTTTGACCTTATGTGGTAACATTGTTGATGACTTAAAATAACTTAACATTCCCCAATCTTTTCGTTCTCCATCCGCAATAAACTACCTTACGTTGAGCTCATCAAGGAGAACACTTATTTGTGAGCTCATTATAAATTTTAGCGACAAAAACAAACGGATACTAATATAATTGGACCAACTCAACGCGTCGCAAGTTAGCGAGGCTTGGGTCGACCAGATAAATTGGGCTCAGACAACTTACAGCCCAGTTTGAGACATAAAATGTGGACTCTTTTTCAGTGCAATAATAAGTTAAATTGGATAGATGTTAATTACCATCAAACTCAATAGATGTGTTGCTCTGCGATATCATGAATAACCAAATGAAGGCGTTGCTCCAATCGCGGAAGTGAAGTACTAGAACTTGGATTCAATATACTTAATCGTGCCTGCTTAGTGATAACGTTACGTAAGATGTAAAGTATTAACTTTTTCTTTGGTCCTTGTCCAAAATTGATTCCGTCAACCAACTTTTACGACCGCCTCTGTGTCAGGCTTTCAAGGATCAACAATAGTCAATATTAAATGAAATGTCTACCTTAACGTGGACCCCGGAATCAAGAGCTTGCTACACCCGCATCTATTTCCTCTCGAGCTACAACAAGGTTACAAAATCATTTTTTCCCAGTGTGGGCTTACTGTTGAAACTAAACGGCCCAACTCAACTGGAGGAATCGACTTTCAACTAACAATTGTCCGAGGTGTCACCAATGCAAATTTGACTTAGTCGTCACTCCCTTATCGTTTCACGTCGATCAATTTCAACGTTCTCCGCCCCTCGCCCCCCCTCTCTCCATATTTGAACTTATGAAGATTGTTCGTTCAAATTCCCGCCCGTCCCTTGGGCCCTAATTTCGTCGAATGCCGTACCCAAGCACTTACCAGAAACTTGATGATCAGATGCCCTTCATAACCGAAGAAAATACCTTCAAATGAGTCACATTTGATACTGTTTGAGAGAGGCTGTTATACATTTTATTCACTTTTCAAAAGCACTTCATGCGTCAGTTGCCCTTCGGTTGCCTTAGGGGAATATTGAAGCTTCGAATGATCGGCCCATTTTTCACTAACAATGTCTGTGAGGGCTTGAGTGCCAAGAGAGCCTAGAAGGAACTGTCACCTTGGTGTATCTAATTTTCTGCCAAATGATTGAATATGATTCACGAACTCAGACATTTTTATTGATTGTGACACTTTGGTAAAGGTTTGCCAGACGTGCACTTGTCACTTACCCACCCTACCCTGAAATAGTCATACTTGACGGTGACTCGAACGTTCCGAGAATTCAGTTGTCAGAGCGTTTCGCTTTGTGAGTTTGTCGATGCTGTAAATCAAATGCTAAATATCCACCTGCAGTCTTCGTGTTTTGCTTGGAAGGTTAAGTTCCACTCCAAAAGACAATTGTCATAAGGGCCATTTACACAATTCATCTAGTAAGTTCTCGGCGAAAGAAATTTCGGAACATACCACCTATATTTCCGTGAGACTCAAGAACTGATTTACATTGCAGAAATGCACGTAGAAATTGATTGATTTATGCATTCATCTGTTCCTGCAGAGAGTGGATAGCTGAAGAACTCTTACATTCCTGATTCTTCTTGTTTTATAGCGTAGTATCTAACACCAGCGAGGAGACTGGAAATTCGATATGTTTTGCAAGGGGTGCCGACAAGAGAAGTTAAGACGAGAATTTCCTTTTGAAACTTTGACTGAGGAATGTGATCATGCACCACTACACTGTCTTAGGGTAAGTTAATGGTACCATCAAGAGGAGATAGTTGAGATAAGGATAAGTACTGTGAATATTCTTATGTAGAATGATTTCATTCCGTAAATTGAGCGAAAGTAAAACAATGAAAGAGGATACTTTGACGTTTGAGTACGGTGCTTAAAGAAAATTTATATGATGCGATTTTGACTCTTTATTTAACCTACAGTGTGTGACGCACTCTGTAAAAAATGCAAGTAAGTGTCCGCAGTGTTCTCAAGATGTTGCTGCGGACAATCCACGTTATTGTGAGTTCGTGGAGACTCTTGAACGGCTCTTCCCAGACTCTCCGCATTTGTTGCTTGAGACGACATACGATGCCTCGCAGGAAACTAACCTAACAATTTCGATAGTTATGCTTGGAGGGGATTGCACAGTTTTGCAGTATCACCCTGACATGACTGTGAGAGATCTGAAGATTTCTGTGGGAAAGCGACTTGGTTATTTACCTGAGAAACAGCGACTTCTATACAAGGATATGGAGTTAAAGGTACGTAAAGAAATAAACATCTAACTTCATAGCTCTTGTCTGGTAAATTGTAGATGTGTCGTCGGTAAAAGAATGAAAAAATTGCTTTTAACTTCGGGAGGGAACCCAGGACTTAAATGCGAAATGGGTCAACAAAAAAGACAAGCTTGACAGCTTCAAGTCCATTTTCACATTACTGGGGACGACTCAGGGAATTAGAATGATCTCTCTTGACGATATTTCCACATTTTTGGCCAGTGTTTCCTGAACTGAGTTGCATTGATTTCTCTTTACACTAAAGTCCGTTTTTCCCAGGCAGATGTAAATGGAATGAATTGCCTTCTACCAAATTCATGAAAGAAGTTCATATCTACTCATTTATACAGTCCTCAACTAAACTAACCCTGAGGGAAATATTAGGTCAAGCATCATGCACAATACTAACTTTTCTTTTCATTTGCAGAGTTGTGCAAACTCAAGACTCCTGACGCTCGAAGACTACAATGTTGAACCCTTTAGTACCCTGTACCTTATCATTTTACTGTATGCCATCCCAGATGCTCTAAATGAAGTTGTTTTTGACCTGTTCTGGGGCTATCCTCCAAGCAGGTGCGATTTTCTGGATGCATCAGTTCTTATATACAACAGATCATCTCTACAAGGCATAGTCGATTTTAGTCGCCGTAGCTTTGTAGGTGTTGCACACTCTGGTGATGTCATGGATCACGTAAAACGCATTGGTCACCATACTATAAATGTAAAGCTTAAGGATTTTCCTAGTAACATTGACAAGTTATTTTTCACCCTGAGTGCATGGAATTCCCCAAACATTTCCAGTTATCTAAATCCCAGTCTACGCTTTTTTGACGCTAAGAAGCCCAACAAACAGCTGTGTAGTGACCAGATGGAACATGCCGCTTATTCCCAGGCCATCATCATGTGCAGTTTGTCTAAGATTGACGGAGTATGGAATGTTTTCAGTCTGCGCACACTGTCCGCTGGAAATGCAAAAAATTATTTGCCACTTCAGCAGACAATTGGTGGCATAATAACTCAAGGATTGTGTTAAATGTCTCCGCAAAGCTTTTACAAGCTTGAGTGATCATTCAAGCTGAAACTAATACGATTGACAGTAATAAACTAGTGCACGACAAAACCCGTAATATGTCCTCATAAGGGACAAGCCGTAGTGTGCATATCAAACGGTCTCAAAGAAGAAAGAAAACAATTCATTGATTTGTGTTTTTATCAATACAAAGATTGAGCAGAGATGATTGTGAGAATTTGAGCTGGAGAGAATCTTTAAGTTTGCGACCTATCTAGTTGGACTGCATATTGCATCGCTCCCATGAAAAGTTAGTTGGTATTACCTTTACGTTTTGTGTTAGCAAGATTCTCACTCATGAGTTCAAGTTTCTTTTGTTCATATTAGGCGGGTTAACTGTAGAGAAAATCTAGAGAACATCAACAGAGAAAATGTAATAGCTATTGGTCGGAACGTATATATATATGCACTATTCTGTTTAACTGTATAGACTATTCTGTGTTTAAATAAACATTTGCAGATATGAGTTTCTTGTATTGTATTATCAATGCGAAACAAAACCCTTTGTTGACAAAGTGACGACGGGGGCCGAGGCAAGTTCTTTAAAAAACAAGCGTCTCCTGCTTTAGGCAAATTGTCCATTTGTGGGAAACCACAGGAACAATTACAAACTAAGAGACGGAAAAATATTTTATTACAATGGCAAATTTTTCCAGACGCCTTTACTGACTCAGCTAACAAACCACTCCCCTTGAGTTGTAAAATGACCCAGTTATCCGAGTAGCACTCCCTAACATGTTGATTGATCAACCTGCTTCCTTTTGTATTAAAACCACTTAGCTTGGTAGACATTAGTGATTGTAAGATATGTGCAATGTAACTATTAGATCGCTAATGCCATCCCAGTTGCTATGCTCTGTCTAGGCGGAATTATCTCACACTAGCTTACAGGTTGGAAGCATACTGTCATGAATCATCTGTTGCTCGTCCTTCCATAAGAAACAGATATTGCAAGTCATTGTAAAGGTTTACTTATTGGCATGTTTTATTTTTTTCCTCCAACGGCGAAAAATGTTGGTTTTTAACTCTCTCTCCAGACAGAAGCAAAGCTTTAAGTACATAGGAGAAATTAATCATTTGAAGAATTCTTTCATTGGGGCTTCTACATCCCTCAGGTGATCATAGCTGAGTTATAAGTTCCCCTTCTCCGGCCTAGTTGACAAAACTGCGGCGGTGAAGGTTGCGTCGACCCACTGAAGTCATGGGATGTCCGATACACAATTAAAAAATAAGCCTAGTTCAGTAAAAGGCAGATTCCGACGATTAACTATTCCAAACAAGCCAGTTTTCACAGCAACGTTCTCCTTTACTTCTAAACTATCATTTTAAATCGTAAATAGAATTAATTAATAAATTACAACACTCGATCTAAAGAAAAGCATGATATATGCATTGGCTGAATGAAATGATGATGGAAACTTCGTCCACCCTTTAAGAAGTACAAAACAACTAGATTCGATTTTCAATTGGAATGGCGACCATTTTCTAGCCTTTGCCTCACTCGGCCAACATGACTAACCCTAACTACCTAATGAACATTACAGCCGAAAGCCAAATAGTTGCCCTTTAAGTTAACCGAAAAAAATCCCACAAAAGTCGGTTTGTCGAGCAACCAATGCAGCGAGAATTTCAAATTAACGGCCGTTCGGAATTCTTCTAATGCGTGGAAGCAACTTCTTGTCCAGCTGAGAGACCGTTAATGCGCGCGGTCAACCTTGAACCTAGTCAAATCTCTGTCAACGGGTCCTCCCCATAGTCTTCTAAAACCAACTCTTCACACATACTAAGGTACCCCGGGTAAGAGGATATTTGTAAAAATCCATTGCAAACAGTGAAGATAGTTCTGGTGAAATTCCTGCTAAGCAACTGTTAAATCAACATTCAAATACTTCATCTGATATTTTTCACAGCAATTTGTTTCAATTGTCTCAACTTTGTCATGAATTTCTAAACAAAATGCACTGAAAGCAGTGCATTGCAGAGGATAACAACATCAAAACTTACAAACGTAACTTTCCGATGAATAAGCACTGCTAGTTTAGGTGACACGGCATTGGTAAAAATGTTTCTTGTAAGAATTGATTTTCTCAATTGACATCAGGAAGTTAAAATCAATTGTCAATAATGAACATGTGAGCACATTACTTCATACGACTAAAGAAAACAGATCTGTTTTAATCTGCAAAGGGAAATACAGCCCATCTCTGCAAATATACCCACCCATCCCATCCCAGGGGGGGGACATCCACCACACAGAACTCGTGCGTGGGAAATTAACATCTCCTACCCATAACCCTGCAGGAGACGGGGTCTACAGTTTATTCGTCCTTATCCAGGAAGACTAGGATATCTACATCCATTTCTTGATATTATAGAAAGCCAGGTTGCAGATCTCCTCAGTTATTTAAGACCCTGAGTGTTGGTCCGGCTGGCGCTTGAACCCTTGACCTCCCGCACAACAGTCCAGCGCTCTACCAATTGAGCTAACCAGGAGGCGGTTTCAAAGTACGCAGTCAATGGTGGCTGTTGCAGCACGTATGATTATCGTGATAGGAATTGCTTGATCAGTACAAAAGTAGCCTTGTCTAGCCCTGAAAAGATGTGTATAGCTGTGTATGGCCTTGTAAAGCTGTGTATAGCCCTACATAGTTGTGTTTAGCCGTGTATAGCTGGGTATAGTCCTGTATAGCTCTGTATAGCTGTATTTAGCCCTTTATAGCTGTGTATTGCCCTGTATAGCTCTGGATAGCTCTGTCCAGCTGTGTATAGCCCTGTAGTACTGTGTAGAGCTTTATTTAACCTTGTTTAGCCCTGTATGTGTTTAGGATATCACAGGTAAAGTATAGGACATAATATGTATTGAGGACATAATAACTCCCCATACATAACCTACCTACCAAAGTTTACGGGAATCTGAGGAAGGATCGTACCTGTATTTTCCTTACCGGATATTATAAAAAGTTTTAAAATTCAGAGATTCGCCTGTGAACAGCCAACCTCTCCCCTTCCCTCTCCTTCCTGTAATGACTAGAATAACCCTATTTTCAAATCATCATCAGAACAACAACATCATGGGACACTCTTCACAACATGCAATTACATAAGTCGAAGCACAAAGGCACTAAAGGTGTGGGTAGATATTTGCATACAATGTACAATAGCGCTTTATACTATTACTAAAAATAGATTTTGTTACGTGATAACCTAGAGACCCCCCGCACAGACTCAGACAAACTTTGCGACCAGCGTAAGGAAATGTATGAGCGAGAGCTGTAAAATTAAAACAAAACGACGGAAAATTTCGTCAAAAAATGACTTGGCGTTCTGAAAGGAAGGGGCATGGTTAGTACCAAACACTGTTGTTGGGGTGAGTGTAAGACAGACTCAAGATATGCAGATAAATGGCCAAAATCACTCAAAGAGTGAAAGGAATTAGGGAAGAAAGTATTCATTCCTTTCCCAAAACCTTCGCGAGACATGGCAAAGTGCAAGCGTTGGCTGGTGGCTTGTTCGCATGAGTTTTTTACGGAGAAAAACATAACAAGAAACACTTAAGTTATATTTGTGCTCTTCACTGGCCCGGCG